ACACACATACACACGTACACAAACACACATAAGCATGCACACAAACACACACATATGCATGCACACAAACACGCAGGCACACACACACACACGCAGGCACGCACACACACACGCAGGCACGCAGGCACGCACACACACACACAATGCATGCACAGAAAACACACATACGCACGTACAGAAACACACTCACACACACAGAAACACGCATGCACACACGCACAGAAACACACACACACACACTCTTTCTCTCTCTCACACACATACACTCATCACACTCACTCACTCACTCACTCACTCACTCACTCACACTCACACACACACACACACACTCCCACTCTCTCTCTCTCTCTCCCCACCTTAGAACTGTGGCCATTATTAACAGATGCTGTGGAACATGGGACGTGTGTAGCATAAGAGGTGAATCGGATCGCATGCAGCTTAGAAATGCTCTGAGGCGGCGTTTCTTGTCATCCACAACCGATCTGGAGGAGAGGAAAATTATGGTACAATCTTCTACATCAAAATGAATGTTAGCAACAGTAATGTATGAATAAGATGACAAGGAAAACTTTCAATAATAATAAAAGAGTTAAAAATCATACATGAAGGTCTCAAGAAAATACAATGACAATTGCTTGTGGATGTGAGTGGGTGTGAGTATAAGGAAGTGTGGGTCTGAGTGGGTGTGTGTGAATGCAATCAATTCACCAAAGTGCGAACTATTAACCCTATGCCGACATGTATGACATGTACATATGTGCCCTGCGCACTGTGAGTTTACTTGTTTAATTGTATTTACACATAGGTGGCTACACTTGTACTAAGTCAGCAATGGGCCAATTACAAGTACTGCCTGTCTCACCTGTTTACCCATTTCTTTGATTTACGAAACTATATATTACATTATCTTATTTTGCTGTTACTAACGTTTATAACATTATAGTAATTATAATGTTTATAATAAAAACGACACCTCCAATGTTCAAAGCACTAGTAAAAAATACATTTTTCCCGCCAATTCAAATCAGGTAAGATCACAAGGTCTACTAATTGACTCCTTTGTGGCTAAGCACTAGCAGAGTCATCTATGTGCTGAGACATTTCACAAAAAAACATAAAAAATGAACACAGCATCTTTCCCCTTTTTTTATTCATTTTCCCCCAGTGGCATTAGGTTAAACCCTTTGAAATCTAGACCGGAATTATGTTAAATTCCATAAAAAAAAAATTCCTTGAGAAATTTCATCCTTACCCAAACCACAACCTCTGGACGGTCGGCACGGCCCAATTGATGGGTGTTGCTTCTACAATGTCAGCAGTGCGGTATGGGTTATTTTTGGTGTACACCCATTCGCGAACCTTGATTTCAGGTACCTCAGTGGCTAGGCCCTCTGTGTAAACATTGGAAAAGTACTGGGTAAGTAATGATAAATACATATAATAAGCAAAAATATGAAAAACTAACATGAAGTAGAGAAAAAGACAATCAAATGCTAATACTCCCTCTCTACAAATATTTTTTGGCACAAAATCATTTTTGGTCGATAGTAAAATTATCTTTGGTTCAATATATGGTTTTTATTTAAACAAAAATATTCCACTTAGCTTTTCCTCTATTCAGTATTTTCTCTATTCATTCTTTAACAATACATGTCATTATGAATTTATGAACTAAGTAAAGAATTTAATCACGAATATCTCTGAAGTTAAGAAAAAAAAAAAGTTTCTAACTAGTGTAACTCAATCAAGTGAATTATACAAATTTCTAAATGTAAGCCCAAAGATATTGGTTACAAAAAATAAATTACAAATACAATGATAACATTCATGGTAATAATGATTATAATACTAATCACAACATGAAAAAAGTAAGAAAATATAAAAAATGATGGTAATAACTAGAACAAAAGTCAACCATTCAAAGATGACAAATAAATACATAAAATTAATAACTAAATGAAAAGACCACATTTTCTTGAAAGACCATGCTTAGGCTCTCTATTTTATGTTCAGGGGATTAATCATAGGGGGAATTAATTTTAGTCTCACACATTAACTAGAAGTCTCATAGTTATTGATTTCCTTAATCATTAAGTATTTTGTCAATAGTAATCCCTAAATTTCGCAATTAAATTTTTTGGTTGATGTCCCCCGCCTCCCCCGAAAAAAAGAAAAAAAAAAGACATACCTTCCCATGGCATCAAAATTGTTTTTGCACTACATAGATTAAGCTTTAAAAAAAATGTTTTTCTAATCTAAAATATATACAAGATATCCAAGAGGATTAAAAAAATATATATTTTCAAGTACTTGCTAAATTCAAACAAAAGCGAATCTTAAAGTAACTTGCTTAAGTTCAATTACTTTTTACTTGGTAAACAAAATACAAAAAAATATAAAATACAGATTATTTGGAATGTTACCTTTTACTTTACTTCCTCTGTTGATCTTTTATAACTTTATCATACAAAATCACAGAATTTTAATTTATTTTATCATTCTAATGCCATTTATTGAATAAAATATGACCACTCATTTACAAGTTATAAAAATTAAAAAATGCACTCTCCTCAAAATAGAAAACTCAGCTTGGTAAACTTGGTAAATATTATGTCATTAGAATATTTCAATAAACATATTTGTGACTTTGGATATACATGCAAATAAATAAATAAATATATATATATATATATATATATATATATATATATATATATATATATATGGTACATCCATGTATACCAACATATGTACATGAGTGTAGATAGGAGCATATGAGTGTATACAGATGTTCATGTGTGTACACATATGTGTATGTATGAATTAACCCACTGGATCCAGGTGATGAAGATGTCATCATTAAAAATTTGGTTAAGGAGCAGGGGATAGGGATGTCTTGCTGTTGGTGCACATAACGCTTTGAGGGAGATTAGACTTAGTGGGTGTATAGGAAGAGGCTCTTGCATTACTTCTACCGGTAAATGAGGACGGAATGTATTATCTGTGAACCATGAATGGAAGAGCACTGGCTCCAGGGAGGACATTAATTTCAAGTACAGGATTCTACTACTGTCGGCCATGATCAGCATTGTAAGGTGATTACAAAAACTGAATAAACAGAACATAATTTTACTTATTGTTACTGTTACTGCACAGAAAAGTAGACTGCCTGGAGTCTGCTAAAGAAAAATAGTCTACTACCATTTTGATACAGAATAACAAATGACAAATGTAGAACTCAGAAAATGGCAAAACAGCAAAAAATGCATCTGCAGAAAGAGTTAATATAAATGCAAAGAGGAGGCAAGGAATGTTAGTGGGGGCTAGGCCAAAAAGCTTAACACTTAGGAGAACTGTCACTCAAGTAAACCTAATGCCCAGAGTTTGGTCCACTTGTAAGTCACAGGGCACCCAAATCCAACTAGTTAAAGTGAGGAAAGGTTGTTTTATATATTTTTTCCATGTAGATGACTATATATGCGCATGTATGTAACTACCTGTACATGGATGTATGTCTTCATGTGCATAAATTAAGAGAAAGTCTTTTTTGATTGTTATCCTTTAGGTTTTCTTGCACTAATTCATTCATCTGGATATGAAGGGTACCATTAGACATCCCTCAACATGTTGTGTAGGTTTGAGGGATTAGAATATACTAGTGCCATGTGTTGAAAGTTTAAATATTTAACAGGCCACACTTCATTAAAGGTACACTCTCCTTTACTGCAAGGAGTTGTATTATACTGATGTAACTTTTACCTATTTATTCATCTTTGGAGATAGTCACTGCCCATGCATTCTATTACTTACTTAAAATCCTTAACCCAATGCTGCTGGGAAAATGTAGTGTTCACTGTAGTACTGTTTTGTGAAACGTCTCTACACATAGATGCTCCATAAGTACTTAGCCATGAAGGAGTCAAATAGTAAAGCTCATGACCTTCACTTTCCCTTGAGTTTTTTGGGAAAAAATGTATTTTCACTAATGCTATCAACATCAATACTGTTATTATGATTACAGACATGATGGTGGCATGACCAATAGTAATTCAATATAAAAGAAAATATTTCCTAAAATCAAGGAAAAGGGTAAACAGGTAGGACAGGTAGCACTAGTAAGTTCCCTATTACTGTTGGAGCCATCTATATGTGAAGACAATTAATAAACTAAACATACAAAGGGCATGGTATACACGTACATACCATCCCCGGCAGCATCAGGTTAAAATGATCAAACATACTTAACCATTAATAATTATTATTAGCAGTGGCTCTCAACCAGTGCGTTGTGATAAGGAAGTGTAAGAATTATTCTCCAAGTGTGTCACTTTATATCTAATAGATATGCATTTCGTGTTTTTCAAGTTACCGTACTGTCTTTTAGTTCAGAAACATTAAGAAAATGCAAGCTAACCCTTTGGTCATAGATGGCAAGAAAGAGGGAATTTGTCTTTCTCCAATAGAAGTGACATCTTTTGTTTGGTGTCACTATTAGATACAGGCACTTAAAGTACAGGGAAACTTTTTATTTATGAAATAAAGTTACAAACTATTAGATGCCTAATGTTGTGCTTGAAGTACCATAAAAGCCAGGCACAAAGGGAGGAGACTATCAATGTGCACCAACTACCCACATTACTGGCCACTAACCAATTTTTTATACTGCAGTAAATGGGTTGACCTAGCCTTAAGTTTCCCCTTTCCCAATACAGCAGTTTGTATATAATCACTATAAACATGTCCACTATGGTTTGTGTAAAGAGTTAGTATGTTGCAGAAGACTAGTGTGTTGCCAGACTGCAAAGGCTGAGAACCATTGCTATAAGTACTATCAATAACAATATAATAATTATAAGGTCATTAATAGTAATAACATTATTAATAACAATAAAAGCATTAGAAATCAAAACTCATTTCCTGAAAATTTGAGAAATGAGGTAAAAAGGCAAGGACTGGTGGGCTTGTTATTGACTCCTTAGTACATTATTGTCTATGAAATG